AAAATTTTGACAGAGTAGTTATATTTAAGTGTTAAAAAAAAATCTAAAAAGATAAATGGATGTTTTCCTTTCTCAAAACACCCTTTTGATTTTCTCATTACTTTACGTCACATTTTATATTGTAGACATTTTCCTGAGAAAATTACTATAGCAAACTGCATAGCCTAGCATTCAGATGTCTTTGTAATAGTGAGATGACATTTTAAATGTTACAATTATTTTTCATTTTTAACTTTTTATATTATATTATTTTGATTCTTAGTGTGAAACGGCCAAAAAGGCTAAAAAAATCAATCACTAAAAGAGTTATTCACTTTGATCATATTTATATACATACATATATACTACACATTCACTTCATTGTTAGTTCATATCAGCTCAGGTGCATTCAATATTATTAACAGATACATCTTTTAATTTTAATAATGACTTAGTAAATTAAGAAATTAACATTTAACTAAAATTAATACTATGCACAGTACAGTAATTTTCATTGTTAGTTCATGTTGTTTATAACTAATGATAACAAATGGAGCCTTATTGTGAAGTGTTACCCAAAGTTATATTTTGGTTAAGCTTTCATTTAGAAAATGCCCTTTACATGCTGTACGCTATTGGAATATTTCTGTTAATATAATCTGAAAAAATTAATGCATGCACATGATCTTCCTGGAGATTCTAGCTCTTCTGGTCATTTATTGCTCTGCAGTTTTGGACAGTCATTTTAATCAGCTCATTAATTAAAGGGGTCATATGATGCGATTTCAATTTTTCCTTTCTCTTTGGAGTGTTACGTTTCAAAGACTAAAGTCTCAAATCCAAAGAGATATTCTTTATAAAAGTTAAGAGTCAACCACGCCTACCTAAAACAGCTCGTTCTAACACGCCCCCACATGTCTACGTCACGATGTGGGAAGATTTACATAACGCCGCCCAAATGTTCACGCAAAAGAAGGCATAACTTTTATTCTCGCTGCAGTATTGTTGTTGCCGCCGCCGCCATGTCGTGAAGGCGCTGTGTTTCGTTGTGAAAGCGAAACTACTTTGGTTGAGGACGATATCCGCTTCGTCATGCCTGGAGCTGATCCATGCTGGTCGCTGAGGAAATACAAATACAACTTTGCGCTACCGTGGACGAAGCGGAGTCCAGCCCGGGGTCGTCACATGTGGCTGCCGCAAGCCCTCCGGACCTTCGTCGAATCCGCCGGACGCGCCATACTCAAGCCCGCCCGCCTCTGCTCTCTCAAGCCGGCCTCTGCATACTCTAGGCCGCCGCCCACTCTAGGCTGCCGGCCTCCGCTCACTCAAGGCCGCGGTGTGTGACGCTGTTTCG